TTGGCAATAGATTATTTGCTTAAAGAAGTTGAAGTAAGGAACTTGCAGAAATCTTTAACCCTGAAGGAAAGATTCATAAAAACAGATAGAAGAAAACATATTTCATCAAGGTTTTTCTACACTCATGAGCTCCCAAGAATGGTGATATCATCATGCAAGAGGTCTGTTCAAGTAATATTATTGTTGATTTATTCACCAAGTCTTTACCAACTACAACTTTCAAGAAGATGGTGCACAAGCTTGAAAAACGAAGATTCTAGTCTCTGAATTGATGTTCTCATAAGCGGAAGTTAATAAGCGAAGGTTTTGTCCCATTGGGTTTTCCTTGTAAGGTTTTTAATGAGGCATCCATAATGCGTATTATTCGATATGTGTATTCTTTTTTCTTCAGTAGATTTTTTTCCTACTGGTTTTATCTAGTAAGGTTTTAACGAGGCACATAATCTACCGATATTTAAGGGGGAGTATTATAAACAATTTGTGTTATAGTGAATGTCTAATTATGTGGAGTCCTTGTAGGATATGGTTAGGAATCCTACTTGGGAACCAAGTAACGTTTTCCCTATAAATAAAGGTTTTTCTTCATTGTAAATAAGATTTGTGAAAGATCTATGAATCATGAATATACTTCAAGAGAAATAAAAAGTCTTTTCTCTTCTCTCTACTTTCTTCTTCTTCTAAATTTATATAGTTTCATCAAAAGATTAAAAAAAACGTTACTGAAGAAAATAATGAAAAATGGAAATTTTAAATTAATTAAATTTGAATTAATTGAGGACAATTATTAATTAGCATAATTTAAGGAATTTTAAACTAATTAAGAATGTTCAGTTTCCTTAATTCACTCTAATTTGTTGAAAAATAATTAAAAATCTAATTGATCCATTTTTTCCACGTTTCTCTCTTATTTTCTTCCTGAAATTTTGTTACCGACGACTAATTGAATTTTTTCTTGTTTGAAAAATTCTGACTTTTTTGTAATAGACTACTATGTATCAATATTAGTTAAACATGGCGAAAGATGTGATCCGCCAGGTTAGTATATCTAATTGTTTACTATTTTATTTGAATTTCAGTAAAATAAAAAAAAATGAACCTGTAAAACATTTTGTGATTTGTTTTTTGTAAATCGTCACTATATTGAATGTGCTATGTTTTTTGTATAAACAATACATTCTGTTCATAATACGTATTAGTTTTTGTGAAACTATAATATTATTGATTTTGTTGTTAAGTTTCTATTTAATTTTTTTGGTTTTTAATTTTTTTTACCATCAAAACAATAATTCCATGAGAAATTGCCACAATGTATCAAAGATTTGAGTATAATGTATAACATAGAAAAAACTTTATCGTTATAGATTGGGTACGAAGATTAAAAATATACTATTGATTTCTGTTATTTTCCTGAAAATATAAATTAAATGTATAGTTTTGAATTAATTTTTGGGATAATGCCCAAGTACCCCCTCAACCTATGCCCGAAATCTCAGAGACACACTTATACTATACTAAGGTCCTATTACCCCCCTGAACTTATTTTATTAATAAGTTTTTACCCCTTTTTAGCTTACGTGGCACTATCTTATGGGCCCAACGATAGTTGACTTTTTCTTTCGAACTAGTGCCACGTAGGCTAAAAAGGGGTAGAAAATTACATTTAAAATAAGTTCAGGGGGGTAATAGGACCTTAGTATAGTATAAGTGTGTCTCTGAGATTTCAGGCATAGGTTGAGGGGGTACTTGGGTATTTTCCCTTAATTTTTTAGTAAATTGAAATGAAATTGGTATGAAAGTGTATTTACTAATATGTAAAAAAGTTACTAAGAATTTTGAAGAATTGTATGACAAATGTTTTTAGTTGGTATGATTTAAAAAATAATTGTTTATATAACTTTTGTCGATTATGCATAAATTTTTGTGAAAAGAATGAACTCTTTGGTATGAGAATTGTATAAATTTGATATACATGTATATTTATAATCTGAGTTTGTATAAAGTGAGAAAAAGAAAAAAAAGTGGGCTGGGAAAGATCATAGTTGTATAAAATAAGTGTATAGGACGAAAATGAATGCATTTGTATTTGTATATACAATTTTCTCTAGCTTTATACAAAGAAAAACACAATGTATACATTTGTGTTTGTATAAAGTGAGAGAGGTGAGTGATAGTGGCGAGCAAGATTCGGCAGAGTGACGAGAGATTCAGGAGAGGGGAGAGAGGGGAACATAAAAATATATGTATATATATAATTTTCTCCCGCTTTAACAAACACAAACACATTTCATATATTTGTATTTGTATAAAAGCGAGAGATAAGGGAGATTTGTCAGCAAAAACGAGAGTGACGAGCAAAATTTATCGAGAGAGGAGTATGAAAAATGGAAAATCTAAACTCAAATCGAAAACTTAGAACAAACTAGTGTTCCATTTATTTAACAGACATACTTAAAGTAACACAAGCCGTGGTAAAGGTCCACAACCCTATTACATACTTACATATTACATAGCAGTAGCAATTAATGTGCTTTTATTTCATACATAGAATACTTGCAGATTAAGAAATAGCAACATTGCTTTTCTGTAAATCATTTTCTCCCTCACTTACCCATTCAGATTCTCCGTCACAAATATAAGTTCCATCAGCGCTGAAATATTTACATCCCTTTTTACCTGCACAACAGTTAGTGCATAGTCCTTTAACTCTTTTAGTTTCTAAAAGTGGGCAAATCCCAAAGTCAATTCTAGTATCACATTCTTTTGTGCAATCCTTCTCGAGATTATTATCCTTCTCGCTTACCCATTCAGATTCTCCATCACAAATATAAGTTCCATCTTTACTGAAATATTTACATCCCTTTTTACCTGCACAACAGTTGGTGCATAGTCCTTCAACTCTTTTAGTTTCTAAAAGTGGGCAAATCCCAAAGTCAATTCGAGTGTCACATTCTTTTGTGCAAGCCTTTTTGAGATTATTATTTTTCTCGCTTACCCATTCAGATTCTCCGTCACAAATATAAGTTCCATCTTTACTGAAATATTTACATCCTTTTTTACCTGCACAACAGTTGGTGCATAGTCCTTCAACTCTTTTAGTTTCTAAAAGTGGGCAAATCCCAAAGTCAATTCGAGTGTCACATTCTTTTGTGCAAGCCTTGGCATGTTCGAAATCGCTCGCAAGAAGAATCATTCCTGTCATAAAACATATGAAGTTAAAATAATTATCTAGCAATACAATCCATTGCACAATGGATCCAATAAAATAGCCAAAAAATTATCTTTAAAATATTGCTTGATTGTACAAGTGACTAAGTGAAAAGATAGAAAGAAAGAAGAATAAGAAAAAGCATACCAAATAAAAGGAGGAGAGCAACTTTGTAAATAGCCATATTCTCAAGTGTTACTTTGATTTGCTTTATTGAGTAAGGAATGTGTATTTTCTCCACCTACTTATAGCAGATTAGAGACCTAATAGGCCAAAAATGACTTACTTTGTTTCTTTCTATTAATGCACTCACATTAATTAGATAGGTACGTGGCATTCTCTTGTTGGTTGACATCTTTTTGTAATTAGGTAAATTTGTATATAAA